GCGGGCGCGCGTAGAAAATTCCACGCCTCCATGCATTGCCAATAACATATCCCTGTAAAATTTGCCTTGCGGTTCTGTGAAATCCCAATTATCTCAGGCCCGCTGGCCCGCTGTAAATTTCAGAACTAATATTCTACCGCGCTGACATAGTATAGATGTGTTTGTGGTTGTTGGGCACTGAGAAGTGTATAGAAATGTCGTGCGTGTCAAACGTTCTAATCAATATATACACTTCGCAAAACACAGTTCTTCTGTCAGACGGCACGCGTGCGAGATGATGACACCATGGCGCCATCTTTATCGTCGACCGACAGGCGCGCGCATCGCAGCAGAACGAACGACGATGGCGAGCCGCGCGAACTGGATCGGTCCAGGTGAGTCGCGGAGACCCGCTAGGTGGCGCTGTCGAAAGGCGGCGTCGCAGTACGCTGGCGTCGTCGTGCGGCCGCTTCGGCGGCGGGAGCCTCCCGTCGTCGCGATGGGTGCCGGCGAACGGCGACGCGCGGTGGCGCCACCTGGCGTACGCGCCGCTGCGCCGCCGCGCGTACGAGGGCAAGGTGACCTTTGCCGGGTGTCGAGCGCGCGGCGACGACGAGGTCGCGGCGGAGGCGACGACGTCGTGCGAGGTCGGGGTCGCTCGACGCGTTTGGGATGAGGTCGTGGCTTGGACCGTGGAGAGCCTCTCCAGGGTCCGCTACACATGGAGAGCTATCAGCATGAACCGCATTCGCAGTTCCAACGCAACGACAGGTAGGCCATAAATAAAGAATATGGTTGTTTGCTTTCACATCAGACGATCGCTAAAAAGGGCGCGACTCAACCAACAATTTTACTTGATCTTTCCCATATCTTTCCCGCTAGAATTTAGTATGGTTATATATATAGCTTATATTATGAGCAGTACAATCATAAAGTAATAGCATATACCTACAAATTTCTATTAAATCACGCCATTCACGTTTGGCCACGCAAAAGTGTGCGGTGCAGTTGTCCATAACACGGGGCATAACTGTAGGACTCGGGGCAGTTGAAGCATTGGTGCAGAGGGGTTGATAACTTGATGGTTAGTTTTTACTAGATAGTAGGCTTGTGTGGGGGTAAAGTATTTGCAGGGTTTTGTGCATTTTCTGTTGCTATGGCAGTAAATGGTAAGCTGCCCTGTGACTTCAACAGAAACGTGCCAGTCGTAGTACTAGTAGCCTCCGTATCCCTATCAGTATCAGTATCCAAGGTAACTGAAACCAAATAAAAAGGGGTGACCCACTGACAAACTCTGAAACTACTCACTCGCTACATGCAAAATTTGTTACTTTTGTAAAATAGCGTAGACCTACCCGCACATATCATAATAAGTGATATCAAATGTCTGATAGTAGTTGTGATATATATTTTGATGTGACAATACTCAATATAGTAAATCAAAATGTTTCTTACTCTGACCGTTTTTGCCACCAGAAACACATGTTTAGAACGGACGCGCTGTCATGCACAGGGTTAGACTGACACTGGAGATTCGTTTCTACCGCCATGAACGTAGCAACGGGAGCATAGGGAATCAGTCTAGTTAACAATATCCAGTCATACCCTAGGTAACTGGTCATTGGGCGACCGGCACCCTGGTGTGCGAACCCGTTGCCGATGAGAATAATTTCTCGGCGTCCTCACGTAGAAATCTGAAGATTTTCAACAGATTAGAAAACATGGCTTTACCACCGGGTCTAGCAGCTCGATTAATGAAAAGAGGAATAATTCAACAAAGTGACTCGCTAAAGAAAAAAGGTGGGACTGATGTAGTACTACCAATATTAGTAATAACCTACTGTGAATGCCTTTCAAGTGCTGCTCTGCCACACACAACAAGTTCATTGCACGTGCACAAACAACAAAAATAAAGCCTAAAGCCTAGTAAAGGAACGTATGGCCGCAAAATTTGCACGACGCTCGATTCGTTTCACACAATCACAACAAAAATAGACAACGAACCACCCCCGTTTTGGTATTTAGACTGCATAGCTAAATGTTTACTCGTTCGAATTATAAATGCCAACTGGTACAGCCACATGCATCTAAAAAACAGAGGAATTGCTCCGACCTGTGATTGGAGGTAAAAAATAGAATTCGTCACGTTTCGTTGCACCGGTTAGCTTAAGCCTAGGACACACTAGCGATTCTGTACGCTGCCCGGCAGCGTATATTTTCGCTCACGATTTTAGAACGCCGTACGAGTTGTGCGTACAGCTGCACACACTGTCCGGTGTCCAATCACTCCAACGGGTTTCCTAGCTTTTGTTGCTACACTTGATTGGCTGCTAAAAACAATCGCGTTCGAACGCGATTGTTCATTGTTGGGCGTGCTGGTGCAAGCGCATGTAAGCGCATGCGCTCTATGCAAGCGATGAAAAACCGGGCGGAAATATTCAACATGTTGAATGCGAGCGATCAGCCGGTCGTATGGGATCGCGTGCGAAATACGCTGCCATGAGACCGGACACGCCGCGCGGACCCGGCACCGTATTTATCGATCGCAAGCGGCCAGCGTAGAAAATCGCACAGTGTGTTCTGTTCTGTACATTTTTGGCAGAGTAAGAGTTTTCCGCAGGAATTCACCAGATATCTCTGGGTAATGTATTGTAGGCAGTACCTTTTGCTGTGATTGTAACTTCTCGTTGCTCCAAGGCATTTGATCGTATAATCTATTCAAATTATCATTCATTAATCAATAATCATTAATGATATCAAAGTTGGGAACACTCCTAATGGAGCGTTAGCCAGCATGTCAGGCCTGGCACGTTTCTGTTGCAGTCACAGGCGAGCCTACGTCTTTACTGCATAGCAACAGAAAATGCACAAACACTGCAAATACTTTACCCCCACACCAAGCCTACTTATCTTAGTAAACTAAAACCCATCAACACCCCTCTGCCACCAATGCTTCAACCATGCCCCCGAGCCTACAGTTATACCCCGTGTTATGACAACTCACCCACACTTTTGGTGGCAAACGTGAATGCGTGATTATAGAAATTTGTAGATATATGCTATTATTTATGCATTTACTCTCATAATATACTATATATACTAACTACTAAATTCTAGGGGAAAGTATATGGGAAAGATCAATAAAATTGTTTGAGTCGGCCCCTTTTTAGCGAATCGGTCGGGTGAGGGCAAACAAACCATATTTTTATTATGGCCCTACCTGTCGTGGTTGGAACTGCTAATGCGGTTCATGCTGATAGCTCTCCATGTGAGCCGACCCTGAGAGCTCTCCACGGCCAAGCCGCCGACCTCATCCCCAACGCGCAGCCGACCCCCGACCTCGCACGTCGTCGTCGCCTCCGCCGCGACCTCGTCGTCGACCCGCGCGCTCGACCCCTGCACAAAGGTCACCTTGCCCTGGTACGCGCGGCGGCGCAGCGGCGCGACGCAGGTGGCGCCGCCGCGCGTCGCCGTCGCACGCACCCAGTCGCCGACGACGGGAGGTCCCGCGCCGAAGCCGGCGCACACGGACGCAGCGTACGCGACGCCGCCTTCGATGGCGCCACCTAGTGGGTCCGCCGACGTCACCTGACCGATCAGTTCACGCGGCTCGCCATCGTCGTCGTCTGCTGCATGCGCGCCGCTGTCGGTCGACGATAGATGGCGCCAGGTGTCATCATCGACGCGCTGCCCGTCTGACAGAAGAAATGTGTTTGCGAAGTGTTATATTATTAGAACCGTTTGACACGACGACTCTATACATCTCATGCAACAACACAAACACATCTATACTATGTCAGGGGTAGAAATTAGTTTGAAAATTTACAGGCCAGCCGGGCCTGTAGATAATTGGGATTTCACAGGCCCGCCAGGCAAATTTTACAGGGATGGTTTTGCATGCTGGGGGTGGATTTTCTACGGGCCCGTCGGGCTTGTTAGTATTAGAAATGTCAGGCCCAAGCCTTAAATAAAGCCCGCAGGCCCCTTATGATTTCAACCCACATACTGACCCATGTAGGTATATCTATAGAATACCACACTATGTGTATATCTACACTACATGCACCTATACTATGTATATCAAGAGTACATAATAGGAGAAGAGTATGACACCGTTTTAACAGCGTTTTGCATAGTTTTCAACTTGTAAATATTCTATCAATATGTGAATAAATATATTCAAACTTTACCTTGTTTTCGTCTACGATTCTCCCTTAATCATACGACACCACCAATTTACCTGAAAATCGTATGTGTTCTTCAAAAAAGTTCTTTGAATACGACACGGTTTCAAAAAGTTTTCACGAATGGACGCATGTGTTCGGCGAAAGTTTATTGTGGGATTAGTGTTTGATTGTCTCTATCTTGTATCTTGGTTACAACCTGGTGCTGCCGCCGCATATCAACTTTGGCATAAACTTTCGCCGAACACGCGAAACATGCGTCCATTCGTGAAAACTGTTTGAAACCGTGTCGTATTCAAAGAACTTTTTTGAAGAACACATACGATTTTCAGGTAAATTAGTGGTGTCGTATGATTAAGGAAGAATCATAGACGAAAACAAGGTAAAGTTTGAATATATTTATTCACATATTGATAGAATATTTACAAGTTGAAAACTATGCAAAACGCTGTTAAAACGGTGTCATACTCTTCTCCTATCATCTACTCTTGATGTATATCTATGGTTACTATACTCTGTATATATATACACTACACCTATACTATGTATATCAATGGTATACTATATACTCTGCTATTTATTATCCCGGCAAGTTTGACTTTGCTACTCACCAGGTGGCGCTGAACTGTCGGACGTTGGGGTCGGCTCGTCCCAGCAAGGTTCATCCAACACAGTAAGTTGTGTGGCCCGCCAGCCAGCATCGTCGTGGGGTCTCCGCGCTTGACCTTTGACCTGCACGAACGAGCAATAACATGCCCAATATCATGCCATATGCTATATGCATCATGTTCATCATTTTCATTCATTGCATGTCATCTGCATCAAGTTGATGCAAGGGCCCAAGCCTAGTTTAGCATCCCAGATTAGCGTACGTAGCACACATGCGAAAACATATTGTGGGGGGGGGTCCCAAACTATCCTTTATCGCCATACCTTACCATAAACAAAGTGTTTTCTTTCACTTGCGACGTCATGTAACAACATTAAGGAACGATATAATGTATTCCCTCCTAATCTCTGCATCCAGGCTCGACAGATGGCCGTTAGAACATCCTTAATTACAGGTAACGGTATTCTCGTCTCACGTTTACTTACCTGGTCCCCTATGTGAGGATGACGTCCGCCAAAGATAACCTCGAACGCACAGTAGATGGTGTCGTTGATCATGGCATAGTGGCTGAAGACAGACGTCACCTTGCCGCTAAAGCTGACGTACTCCGCGCCATCGCCTGATTGGCTCGTGCCACCCAGGCCATGACATTGTCCACTCTCGCCCTTCGATGCCTCTTTCACATCGCCTGCAAGATTTTGAAATGGGTTGGCCTTTTGCCGATTTGTAGTACGAGCCCAATTAATAACCTAATGACGGTGCAGGATAAATTAGCTTGAATGGAGATTATTTGCTCCGGTGGTGCCATCTAGCAGATCTTATATTTCCAAGAAATAAACAGGATGCACAGACCGTTTTATCATGTTGCATTTTCTCAGCTTCATATTCGTTTTAATAGTAAGTTTTTAAGTCAGATAAACAAGCCCCCTTGAATAATTGCTTGGTGGGTCAAGCCGGACCACTCTGCATATGTTTTAGATAGTTCTAGAGCTACATGTCATGTGTTTATGATGAATGAATGCAAAATTGACAACTTTGTGACACTTCATTATTAAGCAATGTTTTAGAAAACGCCTATTGCAATGCTGATTAGCTAGAACTATCTGTCAATCACTTCATATGGATAAGTCAATTGCAAAAGTTGTCTTTAAAACCTACCATCCTGGTCTGTGTTGTCTGCGCCCAATATGTACTGGGTGAGTCTATAAAGTGCACTCAACATATACCGTACTGTTCTCTGGCGCCGAATACAATATATAGCTTGAAAGCTGGTTATGTCTCACGTTGACTCTTCTCGAAACATCTCTACTGCCTCACGGAGAACTGAAAACAATGATATTGTTACTTTTGGACCCGAGGACTTTTGCTCAAGAGAGAATTAATTATTATACAGCAACAGATACAGATACAGATACACTTACAACTACAAGTTACAGATACAGATACTGATACAGAAGTTAAACACAAATTCACAATATAAATTAAGTGACTTAATTTTAACACAAGCTTTAACACAGCCTTACTTCATAGTTGCCCGCACATAACTAGTAGTACTAGTAGCCTCCGTATCCCTATCAGTATCAGTATCCAAGGTAACTGAAACCAAAGAAAAAGGGGTGACCCACTGACAAACTCTGAAACTACTCACTCACTACATGCAAAATTTGTTACTTTTGTAAAATAGCGTAGACCTACCCGCACATATTATAATAAGTGATATCAAATGTCTGATAGTAGTTGTGATATATATTTTGATGTGACAATACTCAATAGAGTAAATCAAAATGTTACAGTTTCTTACTCTGACCGTTTTTGCCACCAGAAACACATGTTTAGAACGGACGCGCTGTCATACACAGGGTTAGACTGACACTGGAGATTCGTTTCTACCGCCATGAACGTAGCAACGGGAGCATAGGGAGTCAGTCTAGTTAACAATATCTAGTCATACCCTAGGTAACCGGTCATTGGGCGACCGACACCCTGGTGTGCGAACCCGTTGCCGTCTGAACTTGCCGATGAGAATAATTTCTCAGCGTCCTAACGTAGAAATCTGAAGATTTTCAACAGATTAGAAAACATGGCTTTACCACCGGGTCTAGCAGCTCGATTAATGAAAAGAGGAATAATTCAACAAAGTGACTCGCTAAAGAAAAAAGGTGGGACTGATGTAGTACTACCAATATTAGTAATAACCTACTGTGAATGCCTTTCAAGTGCTGCTCTGCCACACACAACAACTGAACAAGTTCATTGCACGTGCACAAACAACAAAAATAAAGGAACGTATGGCCGCAAAATTTGCACGACGCTCGATTCGTTTCACACAATCACAACAAAAATAGACAACCAACCACCCCCGTTTTGGTATTTAGACTGCATAGCTAAATTTTACTTGTTCGAATTATAAATGCCAACTGGTACTGCCACATGCGTCTAAACAACAGAGGAATTGCTCCGACCTGTGATTGGAGGTAAAAAATAGAATTCGTCACGTTTCGTTGCACCGGTTAGCTTAAGCCTAGGAAACACTAGCGATTCTGTACGCTGCCCGGCAGCGTAGATTTTCGCTCACGATTTTAGAACGCCGTACGAGTTGCGCATACAGCTGCACACACTGTCCGGTGTCCAATCACTCCAACGGGTTTCCTAGCTTTCGTTGCTACACTTGATTGGCTGCTAAAAACAATCGCGTTCGTTGTTCATTGTTGGGCGCGCTGGTGCAACTGCAAGCGCATGCAAGTGCATGCGCTGTATGCAAGTGATGAAAACCGTGCGGAAATATTCAACATGTTGAATGCGAGCGATCAGCCGGGCGTATGGGATCGCGTGCGAAATACGCTGCCATGAGACCGGACACACCGCGCGGACCCGGCACCGTATTTATCGATCGCAAGCGTCCAGCGTAGAACATCGCACAGTGTGTTCTAGGCTTTATGAGCGATACCACGCGTGCATATTTGCTAATTAATTAGACTAATCGTGCTTCAATAGACTCAAAATTCACAGAGATTAAGGCTAAGACACCAAACTAGGGAATCTGCAGTTTGGGCAGCACAATCATTGCACAATCTCGAGATTGTGCAGATTCCAAGTTTGGGTACGACATCTATAAGAGCTAGAATTTATAGAAATGTAACTCAAATTGTTCGCGCCATATGATAGTTAGTACACGTTCCTACCGGCCATAGCCGCGCGTGTTATTCGCCTATGAGCGATACCGCGTGTGCATATTTGCTAATTAATTAGACTAGTCGCGCTTAAATAGACTCAAAGTTCACAGAGATTAAGGCTAAGACATGTGTCTGCTAGAATTTATAGAAATATAACTGAAATCGTTCGCTCCATATGATAGTTATAGTACACGTTCCTACCGGTCATAGCATAATAGCGTATGCGGCGGGGTATGCAAAATGAAAACGAAACGTCACGAATTCTATTTTTATCCTCCAATTACAGGTCGGATCAATTCCTCTGTTTAGACGCATGTGTATTGCCTAGCAACCCAGAGTCGGAGATGTCTGGTGAATTCCTACAGAAAACTCCCACTCTGCCAAAATGTAAATGGGAGCAAGTACATGATTAATGGTGCCGCATTGCATTCTGGGTGAAAGCGTCTGCTTCCGAGCGCCAGTTCGAGGTCCGCCAAGCCAAGCTAGCATAATAATTCGTGCAGTAATGATGTCACGCACACGACTACGTTCATTAACCTCATAACCTCATAACCTCATTGGCCAAACAATCGAGTAGTGCGGTTAGGGAGTTTCAGATGATAAACAGGCTCCTGCTCCCATTTACATTTTTGGCAGAGTAGGAGTTTTCCGCAGGAATACACCAGATATCTCTGGGTAATGTATTGTAGGCAGTACCTTTTGCTGTGATTGTAACTTCTCGTTGCTCCAAGGCATTTGATCGTATAATCTATTCCTCTGTTATGAGTCATTTCGATGAGGCATGATCGGCAGAATGGTGCATAATCAGTATTAGTGCAACACGTGATAAATCGTTGAAATTTCATTGGATAACGTCGCAGGTACTATGAAACAATAGTGCCCGCCTGAGCGGGCACTATTGCTTGCGCGACGCATTGTTATTCATGTTATTGCATTTATGCATTGTTATTTGCATTGTTCGAATTAAATTTCCCCTACCAGTAGCAGTTTTCCTGAGTCATCGACAGGTGGCGAGATATCGTTGTTATCAGTCAGACGACAACAACATGGAGCGCTCCAGATTTTTTTATTCACTTCATATTTGCCGAGTAGATTGCAAAGTCATGTCATGTTGTTGGGGGCACTATGCTCTCATAGTGTTGCTTTGGGTAGGAATAGTACCTATACCTTCCCTCAGCAACACTATGAGAGCATAGTGCCCTCAACAACAGGCATTAATATATAAATAGGGTATTGTGTTAGGTCCTGCACACAACCTACCTAATAAACTATGCTAATTATAGTTATTGACTTCCCAACAAATTTAATATCCTGAAGAAGTGGAAATTATGTTGCCATGTGATTTTAGAGCATGTAGTCTAAGCTGTTGTTCGTGAGAAACTATTGCCAAAATCTTTCTATGAATTCCAATATTGAACAACACCAATTGAAAAGCTAAACTTTAAGGGACCTTATGTATGGTATATCATAATATGTCAAAAGCAATGATCGTCAACTTCAAGCAAACAGTGAAGGGATATAACTAGTCTATTTCAGTGCAAAATAAATGAGGAATGCTGAAAGTGGACACGATTAATACTTGGAGGAGAATTACTGGCTGCAGGTAGTGTGCTATATCCCACACACATCCCACCTAATAAACTATGCCACCTACGCCGCATTTCCTGCAAAAATGGATGAACTTACGTTGTAGAGTAAAATTTGTTGGATCAAAAATGTTTTGTCTTAGCATTTTTATGCAGTAAATTCACACTCATGCACAAATTCTCTTCCTTCTTCTTTAGTTGATTGTAATTTTGAAGTCTTTTCTAGTACAGTCTGCAGTGTTATTTGTGTATTTGATTAACTGTGTCTTTCTCTGTCTTCGACATAGTCCATTGAGCTATGAAGATTAATCATTATGATGTTATGAAGTCACCACTGTAGCTGATACATAGATAATAAATAGATGAGAGGTGTAGGGCGCCATCTCTAGGTAAGAAAAACACAGAATATGAGACGGACGAGGGCATAAAGCAGACGAACTGTTGAGCACTAGCGTTAGCAACACTACTAATTGTACGTATCCCTGTCATGCTTGACCTTCAGCATCTGACCTTGACGAGGAGGTCATCGCAGAGGACTACGATGGTCTCGAAGCGCGCACCGATGGCACCGAGCGCCCGGCCACCACCAGGGAGCGCCGGGTGGCGGTAGAAAAGACTCGCCAGGTGGCGCGCAGTGATGGAGAATCGGAGGAGGACGGGGAGAAGGAGGCGGTTGCTTCGGCGGCGGAGGAGAGGGCCGGCGGGAGCGTGGCGGGATGTGAGAATAGATGGAACCCGTATCACGAATGCCACGACTACTGTCGCATACGGTAACATGTGTCCTCCAGCCGGCACGCGTCTTGTTTGTCGTTCACGGTTTGACAGTGACAAAGTCAGGATTCTTCTGTAGTGCAGTGTGTGTGGATGCCAGTGCAATGTGATGATGAAGAGTGATTGAAACTCAAATGCCACAGTGCCTGTGCATCTGTATAAATTTCTCACAGTGCCTGTGAATCTGTATTAATTTCTCACAGTGCCTGTGAATCTGTATTAATTTCTCTTGTCAGACACAGTATTGAAGTGGAGAGAGCAATTGTGACATTTCTGTGGCCAAGTCTCATCAGCTCTCTTGACCTTGGCTTTGCTAACCTTAGCTCTGCTAACCTTAGCTCT